GGTGTCCAGGGGGTCGTAGCGGTCTTAGAGCTGTGGGCAGGCGTGTGTGCCCCCCACCCGGCACTCAGCTCACAGGGCGGAGCCATAACCTCGATGTGGTATTCGGAAGGGGGCAGTAAGAGTTCCCTAGGCCCCGGGGACGCCCCCGGGGCTCCCCCGGGAGGGACTCGTGCACTTCTGAGACGAGACACAGAAGGTGTGCTTGGTGAGGGTGCACATCGCAGGAAGCAGAGGCAGGGCTCCCCCAGACAACATCCTGCCAGCACCACGACCCGGACTTCGCACCCATCAGCGCCTGGGGTGGGGGGCGCTCCGGGGAACTTGCCTGTGGCTCCCCTGAGTCAGGCAGAAGTGGACTCTCCCAGGGAGCAGGTCTGGGTCTAGCGTGTATGAAGGCGCCACTGTGTGGGAGCGGCACAGGGGTGCCCGACCCTGGTGTGATGGGGGGCTGTCGGCGTGGCTGCAGCAGGGCCGGACAGGGGGTGCGGTCCGGAGCCTCACCTCAGGAGCCTGCGTTCTTGGGGGGCAGACTCAAGCTTTAACTCCCGGTGGCACTGGTCGGTGCTGGAGGAAGAGGGCCCAGGAAGAGCTGCTGGGGTGGCAGGGACGGCCCCCCAGGGCCCGCCTGCAGCCCCAGCGTCCCCCTCTGCCCTCTGCCCAGGGGACTACCAGATCCTGTGCGGAGACCAGGTCCCAGGCTTCGTCACTGACACCCACACGGGGAGGCTGCTTGGTAGGTCACCCCATCTGCTGAGCCCAGGCCCGGCCCCCCTTTTCCCTCCGCCTTCCCAAGGCCAGGAACCTGCCCCCACAGCCTGCCAGTCATTACGGAAGCAGCAGAGTATTCTTTATTAAATTGCGAGAATTTGTTTAAATTCTGACAAAAGCACACCATGAAGTTTACCACCTTAGCTGTTTGTGGGTGTCCAGCGGTGGCGTGACACGCTCCCGCCGCCGGGCACCAACCCCACCATCAGCTCCAGAGCGTTGCCGTCTTCCCAGCTGAAACTGTCTCCTTAAACCCGAGTCCCCCGCGCTCCCCACCAGCCCCACCACCTGCAGAGGCGAAGGCGCTTCTGAGGGTATCACTGGGCCCTGCCCCTCCGCGCCCCCCTTCACCAGACCCAGGGTCCCCCGTTTCAGCTGACAGGGGGCGGCTTCAGCCACCAGGCCAGGAGAGGCGGGTCTGCGGGCCCCAGAAAATGTGCAGTTTTTGTAGAAGAGGCTCCTGTGCACCCACTCTTCCCCCGCCTCCCCGATTCTTTCTCACGCCAGCCCAGCGGGTGTGTTCAGCAGCGGGATTTCCCGAGCACGTGGTTTGTGTTCGCGCCCCCCGCCTGCCCCCCACTGCCTGACCCTCGGTGGAGGGTGCCCAAACCCCCAGCGGCGAGGCCCGCCCTGACAGTTGGGCCTTCCCCAGACGTGGACGAGTGCGGGGCGATCCCCACCCTCTGTGGCCGCGGCGTCTGCGTCAACCAGATCGGGAGCTTCGGCTGCGAGTGCCCCCGCGGCTTCCGCCCCAGCAGCGGCCGGCC